TGGGGCAGCGGCGGGGCCGGGGGCGGCGGGGAAGTCGCCATGGAGGCCACGGGGCTACTGCTGTTGAAGCTTTCGGAAGCCTTGAGGCGGGAGAACATGGTGAGGGCGTCGGGGAAGTTGGGCGGCGTGGCCGGCGTGTTGGCGGGAGTGCACATCTGTGGGAAGGAGACACGGGGTCAGGGGAGCCCCCATCTTCTGCCTCCCACCAGGGCATGGCACGAGACCCCTTTGCCCCCCCTGCTGTGGCACATGGAGCCCCCAGACCTTTGCTCTGCTGACTGTGCTGCCCAGGAGCAGCTCTATTGAAGGGTCTGAAGGCTCATGCCATGGTAAGAAGTCCTGGCAGAGGGCCCAGACAGGACCCCCCTGTGCCCAGCCAAGTCGGGAACCCACTTGGTCTGCTCTATAACCCACTGGTGCCACCCTGAGCCTGCAGCTTTCTGGCTCTGTGGGCACAAGGCTCAGGCTCAGCTCCCACCCTCCAGGAGCCTGGGCACGCTCCAGCCTGGCTGGGCACTTGCTTTGCATGCTCCAAATCCCCAATTGTCCCGGAGAGTCAAACAAGGCCGCAGCAGCCAGTAAATCCTTAAGACACATCTGCCCAAGCAGATTATGGGCTGCTAGGCCATGAGAGTTAAGGGATGGAGTCTGGGGACAGCTGGAAGAGAGCAGAGGCAGGCAGCACCCACGTGTGGGTGTTTATATACCTCCAGACGCTCTGCACACCGCACCAGAGCCACGCTCCTGCGATGCTCCAGGAATTTGCTCGCTCCAGCGAGCGCACAAGGACCTGCGTGTGTGGCTGCTGCAGGATGGGAAGCACCATGTATCTGTGAGTGTATTTACACAGGTCAGTGCTTCAGGCTCCTCCAGGCTCTCTGCCGGTCTGGGCTGGTGTGGATCACTGGCTATGCCAAACACATCCTCCCTCATATTATCCCTTTTGGAAGAGCAGCCCCAAACCATCTGCAGGACTCTGCTGTCCCACTGCTTAGGGCAGGCTATGCCACCAGCTGCTCTCCAGGAAAACCTTCCTTGGCAGGCAACTCTAGCAGTGCCCAGCCAGACCTCCCTGTCTGCACTCCTGGAGTCGGGAAGCAGCGAGCTGGATGTGAGCACCAGCCTGAAGCACCCGCCAGCTGGTGCTCTGCCCTGGGAGAGCACTGGGGAGCTGGGAATGCACTTACCATCTGATGGTGGTGGCTGTAGGGGATGTTTGTTTCTTGGAAAAAAGCACTGAGAGCAGTCTGAAAGGAAGGAAAAAAAAAAAAGGGAAGATGATGTTACTGCCCACATCCAAACTGGGCACCCACCAGCATCCAAACTAGGCACCCACCTCACCCCTGCACACTGCTAGACCCCAAAGATGGGGTGGAGTAGATGATCCCCTGGGGGGACATGGGAGCACAGCTGCTCCCTGTCCCCAAGCAGGGACCTGTGCCTGCCATCTGCTCACACCAGGGCAGGTGGTAACCATGTGTATTTGGGACCACCATCCTTGCAAGAAGCAGCACCTGCAGAGTCCAGCAGGCGCTTCACAACTCACGATGACATTGTGTGCTGAGAAACAAAGAAAACCAAACCAAACCCCAGCAGGAGGAAGCAGTTAAAGGCATGTCCTCAACAGGACATGATCACAGTCCCCATATTCCCACCAGGAGATCCCCAGGGCAGGGGCTGCAGCAGGTGCTCACCCCATATGCCAGAACATTTCCAATTCAGTTGCAGAGAGAGCACAATGAGGACTGACATTGTTTTGTAGCTTCCAGTTAAAACCAGTAATAGTCTCGTGGGTAAGTCATGTGCCACAGGCATTGAGAAGACAAGAAGGGTTGCAGGTAGGGAAGGCCAGGGGAACAGGATGGTCAGGAGGGCAGACACCCAGCCCATGTCTGGGAGGAGCAGAAGCAGCAGGAGGTTTGGGGGTGCACAGCACTGAGCTGATGCAGGAATGGTGAAAAGTTCTTTACTCAGAGGGTGGGGATGCCCTGGCACAGGGTGCCCAGAGAATCTAGCTGCCTCTGGATCCCTGGAAGTGTCCAAGGCCAGGATGGATGTGGCTCGGAGCAACCTGGGATCGTGGAAGGTGTCCCTGCCCATGGCAGGGGTGGAACAAGATAACCTTCAAGGTCCCTTCCAACCCAAACCATTCTGTGATTCCATGATGGTGACTCCTGTTCTGCACCAGGCTTCAACTGAGTCAGGGCTAAAAACAATGTTATGATTCAGTTGTAGATGAGACTTGATGGAAATGTAAGAGACCTGGTTTGGATTCAGTTCTGGTTGAAGGAAAAGCCCCCTTCAGGCCTCTCCCCAAGGCCTTCAGGTCTCCATTCTGGGGTGTGGCTGTGTGCTGCCACACTACCCGAGATTCTGCTCCCTTCCTGAAAGCCAGGGACTGGGTTTACCCAAGCTGCTGGGGAAAAAAAGGCAGAAAAGCCCGGAAGAAGCACAGGGAGGTTGTACCAAACCCTGCTCAACTGCAGCAGCCACAGTCCTGCCACCACACATGCTCCTGTGTCATTCTAAGGGCCAGGATGAATGACAGCAAGCCAGCTCAGCTCATTGATCCAATGGGAAAACTAGTTTTCAACAAACATCCAGGCTGGCAGGCCCTGGGGAGGCAAAGGGGTTTATGGTTACCTGGCTGAACAGCAGAAAACTACTGGTACAGGTGGCAGCCAGAGCAATGTCTGTAAACAATGATCCAGACCTGGGTGGGGGAAGCAATTCCTGCTGCAGAGTCTGGCAGCTCCCAGACCTCAGGAGGACCGTGCAATAGCTGGGCTGGCAAGGCTCTTCCCTGCAATAGCTGCAGCACCTGAACTCTGCACCCAGCCATGCTGCGAGCTCGGAGCCCTCAGCTCCTGCAGGCAGAACCCATCGGATCCCAGGGACAGCCATGCAGCAGGAATAGGGTCTGCAGCCCTGGAGAGAGCTCTGCACAGGACAGCACACGGCTCTGAATGAGGAAATGTCCGACAGAGACAGACATGTCTGAGGCAGTAACACCCCCAGCCACACTACCCTTCGTCCTGGGTGAGGTTGGATGTCAACACCCACAGGCCCTATCGCTGACAGATCGTGATAAGAGAGGGGCAACACCAAACGGGAAACACAGGCAGAGGTGTGGGCACAGCCAGATACCATAAGCTGATTAAATCTGCTCTGTGCTCCTGTTTTCCAAATGGCCTCATATCTGGGACTGTGCCACTGGCAGACAGGGGCAGAAAAGGTCCCTGCTGTCCCCCTGAGCTGCTCACCAATCCCTGCCAGCGCTGGGATGAAAGCTGTGACTGGGCCGAGGAAGCACTCTGCCAGTGCAGGCCCCTCTGCCTTAAACAGTGTCTCTTCCCCTCCATCTGCCCTTTTCCAAGCACGGCAGAAACAGCTCCTGTGCCCAGCACAAAACCCACGACCCACAGTCACCTCCCAAGGGACCTGCAGAGCCCCAGCCTGGTGAGTGAGGACCCCATGCTCCCCTTGGTGCCACAGGGGCCAGGGACACACATGTAACCAAAGCCACTGATGCCACCTGGTCTCCAGACAGCATCACAAGTGCCATGGTGACTGGTGCAACAGCAAAGCCAATTAAGGCTCCTCTTCTGGAGAAGGAGCCCAAGCCCAGCTCAGCCCCGGCCCCATTGCCTGTGTCACCCTGGTGTGTGCGGGAGCGTAACAGCCACACATCCATGGCCTGACCAAGCTCAGCATGTGACCAGGCCACTGTGCCCCCTCCCAGATGCAAAACCAGGAGCTTCACAGATGGATCACACAGGGACTCAGCCAGGGAGCCAAGAGGCACCTGTGGTGACTCAGTCACAGAGAGGGTGGCTGGAGGTGTGAGCTCTGCCAGCACAGGGCACCCAGCAGCAGGGGCAGCCCTGGGGGCACCCTGTCCTTGAACCACCAAGGAAGGGGCTTCATGAAACAGAAATACATAAGAGGAAGTGAAATCCAGCCATGAACACAGTGAGCAAAGCCAGGCACCTGCTCCTCTTGTTCCCCACACACAACCTCTCTACACTGAATGGAGGCTCTTAGCACCAGGAAAAGGAAGGAATGGGTGGGTTTTTTTAGGAGCAGTTTCTTCTTATCCTTCCCAAACAGCCCCAAGGGCAATGAGCACATAAAGCCAAATAATATCTTTCTACCGGAGAAAGAGCCTGATCCACTGCCCAGCCCCATGTGAGACTCTGCAAACTCTGAAATGTCTGCCTGGTAACCTCCTGGGTTCCAGCCGTGGAGGGGCTGCTCTCCCTGGCTTCTCCCAAAAAGCCAAGCCCTGGAGGCCGAGTGCCAGCTTTCACCCAGAGACACTCCAAGTTGCTTTCTTGGGCCTGTAAACCTCCCCCTGGGATCAGCCATGGCACTGCTCCAGCTGCTGGAGGGCTGGGCTGGCAGTGCCATTTTGGCTGGAACCCACAGCAGCCATCCCTGGAAGCATGGAAGGGCCCCCAGAGCTGCGAGAGCTGCAAACTAAACTGGGCACAACAAGAGAAAGCCTGCCCAGGGTCCCTAGGAAACAGGAGTGGAGTCACAGTGAGTGGGAGAGGCAATCCACACCCTACCCATGAACTGCCCTGTTCCCCAGGGATAGATGGGCTGAAAAAAAAATGGCTCCTTAGTCAACCCCCTGAGTATGGGACAGACTCTGATCAGCTCACACCACAGCCAAAGGTGAAGGTATCCCAAATGTTTTCCTGACCTCCCACCCTGCTCACTATCCTGGATCACATTCCTTCCACCCCGGGTCTACCAGGTCTGGAAAGAGACACAGAGCAAACCTGCTCTGCAGCCCTCACTTCATCTTCCTACACACAATGGCCCCTGAGCAGCCAACCTCAAAGCAACAAAAAGATAGGAAAGTGGTCCCAAAACATCAGCATCCCGAAGCTGACCGTGTTTCACAGCATCCTCCCTCTCCCTCCTGCTGGTGACAAACACCCCAGGGGCTGTCACAGGCAGCAAGTGGGACACCTGCCCACAAAGGAACGGTCCTGGGCAGGGCAGATGGATGCCAGGAGTGCCCTGACAGAGGCACAGAGCTGGGACAACCCAACTCCTGCTGTGTGTCACTGGGCCACTGAGCTAGCCTGGTTCCCCTGTGCAGAACACCTCTCCCCGTGGTGGCCTCACAGGCAGCAGCAAAATCCTCAGGTACAAACAGGCTGATCCAATTCACGCCGTGCCCCTGGAGCAGCGCTTTGACTCCAAGGAGATGCTTAATTTATGCTGCCTTCCCTCGTAATGAACTTGCCTGAACTCCCCCGATTTATACTCATTGCAGATGCAGACCAGCCAGCGAACGGGTGCTGCACTGGAATAACAAAAGCCTCGGGAGTATCCTAGGAAAGAGGTGAGAGCAGGCTGGAGTGGTCGGGAGGCGATCCCTCCCCAGCGTGGCTCCCAGAAGGAGCCGTGCCCAGCGGCCATTTTGCAAAGGGAATTATCTGACCGTTGCACCAAAAGTGAGTGGGAACATGGTAACGGCAGCGTTTGTTTACAGCCCGGCTTCCTCTGAGTCATGTGAGTGCCCAGCCGGCAGGAGACGGCTGTTTGGACTTATGCAACTCGCCAAACGGTGGCAAAGTTCTGCAAAAAAGCCCTTTGAAAGACACGTTAAAACTTCTGTCATCCCTCGCCGGCTCTTTTGCGACACGCACGGAGGTGGTGGAAGAGGATCCCGCCTGTCCCAGAGGGCCACTGTCAGGCTGTGTTAGTAAACAAACGCCGCAGCACGTTACACATGCAACACATCCCACGCCAGCGGTGCTCCCGTTCACCGGGCACGGCGCTGGGCATCGCCGGCCCGGTCCTCCGCACATCCCTGCAAGCCCACCCCGCGCTCCCCGGCCACGCACGGCTCGGTTTGGGAATGGCCTGCGATGGAGCATCTGGG